CACAACGCCTGGCCATTTTTTGGTTGCAGCCATCATTGTTGTTTGGCAGGCCCGGGCTGGGGATTCGAACCCGCCACCTTAGGTGTATGTGCCTGGCGCCTTAGCCGCTTGAGCCACAGGCGCCGAGCCACCCTTTGCTTTCTTACTGTCCTTGAGTACAAGAATAGATTCTCTGTTTGCACAAGGAGAAAATAGGTAATAAAACCAAGGGAAGTTAGGGTGTAAGCTGAGTTTTAAGTGATCCTTCTCCCTTTCTGTTGGAGATATTTTCTTCTGTCACCTCAAACATTTGTCATTTCTTTGTGTTGGGAACATTCAGCATTCATCTTCTAGCTATTTGAAACTAGAACACTAGAACTTATTCCTCCTAGCTAGCTAGATTTTGTGTCCCTTAACAAATATCTCCCTTTGCCTCTCTTCCCCCTATTTTTCCCAGCCTCTCGAATCCTCTGTTCTACTTTTTACTTCCATGAGATCAACCTTTTCTTTTCTTTTCTTTTTTTTTTTTTTTTGAGTCAGGGTCCCACTCTGTCATCCATTTTGGAATGCAGTGGTATCATCACAGCTCATTGCAACCTCAAACTCCTGGGCTCACGTGATCCTCCTCTCTCAGCCTCCACGGTAGCTGGGACTACAAGTGCCCGCCACCATGCCTGGCTGATTTTTCTCTTTTTAGTAGACATGGGGTCTCACTCTTGCTCAGGCTGTTATTGAACGAGATCAACTTTCTTAAGCTCCCACATATGAGAGAACATGTAGTGCTTACCTTTCCATTTTTGGCTTATTTCACTTAACATGATGTCCTCCAGTTCTGTCCATGTTGCCATGAATGATAGATTTCATTCTTTTTGATGCCTGAATAATATTTCCTTGTGTCAATATACCACATTTTCTTTACTCATTCATCTGTTACTGTTGGGTTTTAAGATCTGGGTGATTTAGGGAATGGGCAGGTATGGAGAAGCAGTGTAGGGTAGAGGACATTTAGTGAGGTCATTGGGCCTCTCTACCCTCATGACCCTCAGCCCTGGGGCTGGCAGCTGAGCTGCAGATCTCCAGCTTCTGCATACACCTGACCCTTTGCCAGGGGCCTGCAATCTCATTTCTTATCTGCCCATATATGCAGCACAAGAAAGCATAAAAGTATGCTTCTCTCAAAGTTACCGATTGTATTCTAAAGTTCAATAACAATTAAACAGAAAAGGTGACCATGATTTTTTTTTTTTTTTGACAGAGTTTCACTTTGTCACCCTCAGTAGAATGCTGTGGCTTCTTAGCTCACAGCAACCTCACACTCTTGGGCTCAAGCAATTCTCTTGCCTCAGCCTCCTGAGTAGATGGGACTATAGGTGCTTGCCACAACACCCAGCTATTTTTCTTCTTTACAATCTGGCTTTTTCTACAAGAGATTTGAGGTCATTTACAAGAAAAATGTGTCTAAGAAAAAAGCAAAGCAGAGAAGCAGTATGTAAATAATGAATCCTGTGAGGACCTCCAGTTGCTACAGTTGACATTCCCGTTGAGTTGTCACTCTGAGCTTCCAGGAAGCCAAGGAAAGAAAGAAATATGAACAGTTGTGTTGTTCTCAGAACCAAGGGAACATCAAGTGTGTGATTCTCAGGTTCTTCGATGTCTTGTATGCTTTGTGAGAGCAGGGACTATGACTGCCTTGATGACAGCTACATTCCCAGAACTTGGTCCACGGTGCTCAGCATGTCTGCCACATGAATGTGGAAAACAGACATATTCCTTGGGGAAAGTGACATTTCCTAGTACTAAGTTTCAAGAGAAATTTCCCATGTGGAGCCCTAAGCCAAAAGTTTAGTGTGACGATGAGCCCTGTTTCTCAATGATATATTTTCTTGTTTTTAAAAATTTTTTTTATTTTTTAAGGTTTTTTTTTAAATTGGGATACATTGAGGATTCAAAGAATTAGGTTGCGATGATTGCGTTTGTTAGGTCCCTCTTATAATTGTTCCTTGCCCCCAAGAGATGTGCCATACACCGTGACCCACCCCCCAACTCAATAATATATTTTCAACAAATATAACCATATGCACATTCCTTTTCTAGTGTTTCTTGATTATAGCCAAAAATGCAGCATGGTATTACTGTATACATAAACCCAAGACAAAGGAGCAGGCCCAGAGGAACCGGCTGAGGCTTAGATTGGATTGTTTCAAACCCTATTTCCTTTTTTTTTTTTTTT